TTTTTTTACAAAATGACTTCATGCTCCTTTGTTCATTTTCAAAAGGAAATTAAGAGAGCTTGCAAAGACTATTTTAACGATATCATTTTTAAAAAGTGTAGAGTTGGGCTAGGTTTCTCGCTGAATGCAGCCTCTTCATCTGCCTGTTAAGCCGCCTGGGGGCGGACTGCCGTCTGGGGGCACCGCCGTCTGGGGGCACCGCCGTCTGGGGGCACCGCCATGTGACTGCCATCTGGCCCTGAGGCCCTGAGGGCTTTTCAAACCCGGACTCACCAGGACGCCCATGGAGGCTCTGCATGTGGTCAGGGCAGTGGGCAGTGTTTAAGGTAGCAAATACGCGGAGGCGGTTCTTCCTGTGCTATGCCAGTCTGCCTGGACACTAGGGCGGTCCCCTCACGTAAGCGCTCTATAGTCACAAACTGTTTCCTTAGGGCAAACTCTGCTTGGTGCCCAAATATGAATGCTGCCTCTGAACAAACCATGTCTGTGGGCAAATCACTACCCTCTCTCTGCTTCACTTTCCTTCGTGATACCGGGATGACAGCCCCTTGTTCTGGGGTCTGCGTGGCAGAGGGTGCAGAGTTTGGCAGAGAACAGTTTCAGTGATGCCTGACTTCCCACTGCTCTGACCTGTGTGGGACCCCAGCAGACAGATCGCAAGTCTAAGGCCAAAGATGCCGCAGTGAAAGGCCAGAAACAGGGCACCTCAGCCTTCCACCCAAAAGTACATGTAAGATGACCTGAAATTCAACCCTTCATTCGCCAACAGGCTCTCCATGACTACAGGCCTAGGCAATGTTGAGCAACACGAGAGAGCTGAGGACACAGGGATGAGACCATGTCACTGCCTCCGGGAAGCTCAGGCTTCTGGGGGGGGGGGGCGGGGGGAGGGGGAGCCGCACATCTACACAGTACAACGGACAGAAAGGGTGGAGGGGGCCAGGACAAGCCTAATCCAGTCTGAGGGGGTTTGCAGGCAGGGTGCCTGCATGAAGTCTCAAAGGGTAAGTAGATCAGAGTAACACTGCTGGAAGGAGCCAGCAGGCGACTCAGTTATGTCCACGCACAGGAAGGGGAGAAAGAAGCAGGGGATACGGAAAGACAGAAGGGTTTCTATTTTGCAGACAGGGTTTGCAAAGCTGAGTTGTAGAGGCTGCTGGTCACATAGCCCAACCCAGCAGCTCATCATTTTCATTTCGCACGGAGATCCCATCTCCGTAGAAGGGCCTCAAGTGGGTACTTCAGAAACCCCGTAGCGACGCTGCAGTGTAGCGACTCTGCAGTGTTGTAGGCAGGTCGCTTGGTAACAGGAAGGGGCGAGTGGTGCAAGGCCCGCAAGGCCCGTTTCCCCCAACCCCGTCCATAGCTGCTGCCCATGCGCCCTCTACTGGCAGCCCCCTGCCAGTGCGCTGGCATCAAGGAATGCCTAAGCGCTGCCTTCCAGAAGATTCTTCTAGCTGTTTGGGATGAGCAGCACTACACAAGGCCGCTGGTCTGCTTTCATCTTCTCCCTAATTTGGGGTGGGCCAGTCTGAGAGGCTGTATAAGTGGGGAGGAATCTAAGGTTAAGTGTCATGATAAACTAGGGTCACTGATCCAGACCTGCCTGGCCATACTGAGGTCAGAATCCTCTGTAGACGGGGGTGAGGCTAAATGGAACCAGAAACTGGGCCTTCTATACTCCTGCTTCCAGGGTACCTGCAGTACCGTGGAAGCAGTGGCTGGGTAAGGGTATGGCTGTCTGAGAGTCACCCCAAACCAGTTTAGCACCAGAATCACTGCCTCGTCAGGTCCACTCCGAAGCCCATGCTGCCCTGCAGGCCTCAGAATGTTTTTGTCCTGCTATAACGCAGTAACTGAAAATTCTTGACTGTGCTGCTGCAACACCTTCCACAGGGCAGGCCCAGGCCCCAGGCCCCAGACTCTCACTGAGCACAGCAGGATGCTTGGACACGCCTGCCCACAGACAGGACAGGGTGCAGGCCAACTACATTCTGGGAGCCAGTCCTTCCAGAAACAAAACAGGACTCAGCTGCTCAGGAAGGTATCATTCACTCCTGTCGCCTACACTTTTTCTCCCACTGCTCCCACTGGAAGTGTGATCTTCACCTAACTCTTTCTTGCCTTTTGGCAAAATGCAGTTAGGATCTGACTTCTCAGGAAAGCCTTCTGGGACCACCCCACAAGCCTCTACTTACCACTGCCCCAGGGTGAATTCCACTGGATGTCTATGTCTGTTTCTCCCACTAGATCCCATGTTTCCCAGGGGCAGAGCTGATCTCCAGGCTCTGAGTCCAGTAGACACAGGGTGTGTTTTAAACAAAACAGAAAGTGAAACCAAGAGACAAGCCTCAGAGCCCCAAAATGGTGGAATGGGACCAAGTTCGGTTTTTCAAGATCACCGTCCTCTGTAGGGGTCACGAAAGGGCTGGCATGAGAAACTACATCTTTACATTTTATGTGTTTGCATCAGATTTCCTTTAAAGGTCTCCACTGCTTAAAAAATTAACAGTGGTAGAGGTCAAAACAAAACACCAACCACTATCCTAGCCCAAGTCTCTCACTTGATAACCGAGGTAAAGCAGGGGCGGGGCGCAGACAGGGAAGGACTTACCTAAGCAAAGACACAGTTGGGGCAAACCAACAGGGCTGAATCCAGGCCCCCACCCTCCCCAAAGCAGCCTTCTTCAAGGGTTTAAAAAGAATAAACCATCCACAAGGGTTTTCACTGCTCATTTTATTTCAAGTCAACTGTCCCCAGAGAAGAAACTGCTGACATCATAGGTGATTTGAAGCACTCTTCTGAGAACTGCATCAGTGCTTATGAACAGCCTACTTTTTAAAGTTGGCAATCACTATAAAAACATCAAAATAGTCAAACTTTATAGTTTTTTTTTTAAACAACAAATGATGCCAAGAGTGGCTTGAACTTTATGGAGGTGAGGTGAAGCAGCCCCAGCGGGCAGGGTGCTTACTAGAAAGCCCTTTGGGGAAGGGGCGAGGGGCTGTGGCCAGGGAGACGCGCAGCAAGGACGACACTGCAGAACCTGCTGTCAGTGCCTGGTCCTGCTGCTCGCACCAGCCTCCAGGATGTGCTGGAAGCCTGATGTCTGTGCTGCCCCCAGCTGGGGACCAAGCAGAGATGGCAAAAGCAGAAGGCTGAAATAGATGGGGCCTCCAGTCTGGAGTGGGGCCTGAAGAAATCAAAGACCACCTCTGGGGGTGAGTCTGAGAACAGCAGCACAATCCAGAGATGGTTAAATTCATTCTTAAATGTGAGCTTCCACCAGCCCCTCAATGGGCAGAGCTCTGGCCCTTCCCTGGTAACTTCATCCTCCACGTTCCTCCTCTATCTCAGGACAAAGAGAACCTGAGAACTCACCTCCCTCCTCCTACCCTAAATGGAAATGAACTGCTATCTTATGCCTATTACTATCCTTTCTCTACAAATCAATGAATAGAAACAAAAGAAAAAACCCTCCTGTTACACCCCTAAGGCCCCACTCCACTGGGCCAGGGCCAGGGCCTAGTCAGACTGCTCCTGAGACGAAGGCTGGGTGGGCTCCCCCGGCACCTCCACATCCTGGTCATCTGCAAAGGACAGAGGACTGGATTTAGAAAGAAAAAACTACCTACCCACAGATAGAAACTGCAGACGCATGGTTCCCAATCCCTGCCGGCAATGAATCTGTCTTTAATTTGCCAGGTGTTGGCAGACTCAAGTTCAAGGTCCCCAGGTCTGCTGGTCTCAAGCTGGGTGCCATGAAAGCTGCTCTGCTCCCCAGCTTGTTTGTCAAAGGGTGACAGAATGTGGAGATTGGGGAGAAGCAAGCGTTAACCTAGCACCAGCCACCCTGCACACCTCTGCCGGTGTGAGGGGAGAGGATTGGCACACAACCTACAGACAGGCGGAGAACTCCCTGGAAATCCCAGCCTGCCATCGACGTCTGCGAGAACCCCTCAGGTTTCTCTGGGTTTCTTCATCTGCGAACAGCCTGTCTCCCTCAGATGCTTGCCTGCCAGCATGGAGGGCTGGGGTCGGGGAGAGCTGACTCCAGGGCGAGCACACCTGACATTCTGTGCTCCAGTTCCCTTCCTCCAGGAAGTCTTCCTGGGTCTCCTGGAAGTTGGGACTCGCGCTCACTTACCAGTGGTCTCCTTGTCCGTATCAGACAGGACAGTCAGTGAGAAAGATGATGGTGGTGGCGGTGGCGGCGGCGGCGGCAAGAAGTGAAGAGCAGAGAGGAAGCCCGGTGGGAGGAACTGGGGCTGCGGCGGCTGCGGCGGTGGGGGCGGCGGGTAGTAGCTTGGCTGGAAGTCTCCCACCGGCTCCGAAACCTGCGGGGCGCACACCACAGAGGAGCCAGAGAGGGCAGAGGGTCCGTTAGATGGGTTAACGCGCCTCACTCCCACAGTGAGGTGTCCCTCCTGGGACACTCAGGGTGACTGGAGATGCCACACATGCCTGCCGATGACTGAGGTAAGAAAGAATAAAGCAGCCCTCAGCGAAGCCTGCAGCAGCAGCACAGACAACTCTTCTGTGCATGCTTAGAGGAGTGACCTTGGCCCATCCTACTGACCCTAAAAGGGAGACTCTGTTGCTCTCTTTGATTTAAGGAAGAAATGGTGTCCCTGAGAGGAAGCCAGGAACCCAGGGCTGCAGAGCTGGTGAGCTGCTGAGGCAGGACTGGATCCCAAGTCTGCCTGACTCCACTACTCTGGTAGGGGAGGATTCTGACTTATCTCAAGCACCTGGGCTCCCATTTTCTGGCACATGTAATGACTCAGACTTGAATCGGGGTGGGGGGGGCTTTGGGGACCCTGTTCAAACTGAACAGAAGTCAGCACCCTGAGTGTAATGCAGCAGTTTCTGGGGCCAAGGAAGCTGGTGGCATCAGCAATCAACCCGTCTGTTTCTGCTCCTTCTTTCGAAGATGGAAACACAGTGTGTCACGGGCCCCCACGGCTGAAATGAGGGGATCTGGAAGTAGGATGAGCTCAGAGTGTAACTGAGAAAGATGGAATGTAATAGAAAATAAAAATGAGTTGCAGATGTAATTCCTACTATTTATTTCTCGTACAGACACTTCAGAGCAGCACTTTACAAGCTGTGTTCTGGAGAACTCCAGTGCCCTACTGAGATATTTTTAAGTGCTCTTAGAATTCTCTGTCAAGGGAGATCAAGAAACTTCACATGCTGCCCCTGCACTGTGAGTCACCCATGAATGTATCAAAGCCTCAAGGCGGGTCTACAAGAAAATCTCCTTTGAGATTTCAAAACTTTATTTAACGACAAGGAAGAAAAGAAAGCCCACTTCTAAGTGCCCACTACATGCTAGACCATGTCAGGTATTTTACCTGCCATCACACCTTGTTCAGCCTATCAGATTAACCCCACTATAAGACTGAGAACACAAGTGGGCCCTCAGAGGCGAGGCACACGGCAAAGAGCTACTGGACGTAGGATGACCCTCGATCTAACTCCAGGTTTGTGCTCTTTTGTGGGAAGAGAAGAGAAGGAGCAAAGCAGCAGCAGGTGGGGCAGATGCAGCAACAGGAGGACATGCTCCCGGAGCACCTCAGAGCCCACAGGGCAGCAGACGCGGGGGGAGCAGCCCATAGGCGCTTGGGTTTGAAACCGCTTTACAGACACTGCCTGCTCCCTAGCCAGACTTGAAGGGGGGCGGAGGGGGATTATTAAGTGTTTTAATTCCAAGCTGCTCAGCCAAGTCTCTCCCTAAATCACAGCTCCTGCCTGGGGCCTGTGGTGGCAGCCCAGGCCCAGATAAACCGACTGAGATCACACTCTTAACAAAGGCTGTCTGGCAAGCCTGTCAATCAGTGGCCTGCCCTGGACGCCAGGCTTCTGCGAGCAGACGGTGGGTGGGTGCTCCACTTGGCCAGAGCCTCTCTCTTTGTGTGGAAGCTGGAGATGCTTTTGCTGTCCCTGGGTGGTGATAGGGTGGCCGGTGCCTCTGATTTGAGGCCAGGTCTGGTCTAAGGCCATGTTTACTCTGTCTCCATCTGAGAGAAAACTTAAAAGTAACAGAAAGCACAGAGCTCCAGAGACAAGGCAAGTGAGGTATATATGCTGGCTAGTCACTGACCAGCAGCTTGACTTGAATCCGATTCCCTCACTCTCCAGTTCTATAGCCTTGGGTAAATACTTAACTTCTCTTGAGCCTTTTTCCTCAACTCCTCAATGGGTAAAAACTCAGATCTTAAAAGGTTCATATTAGGCGCCTGGGAAATTATCAAAATCAGTGTTTTTTGAATGTTTTTCCCTTGATGCAATGGGAAATAATTTACATGTGTATGGATATATATAAAGCTTACAACACCTAAAACAGAAGAGATGAGTCATACCTGTGGCAAAGCTCTGAAAGGCACATACCATAGCCCAGGCGGGGTGGAGGGGACTTATCGACACGTGTGCCCTCCCCAAGGTGCACACTGCGTGGGGTGAATGCTCTGTCCCGCCTATCAGCACGGAAGGACACGGCACAGAGTTGCCACTTGGTTTCCTGGGATTAAGGATCCTTAAAGGCAGCAATGGCATCTGGGATAAGGAAGAACAGGGAAAGAAATCAGGACGGAACTCACCAAGCTTCCTCCATGGTAATGGCTACAAGACACGTGCCGGAAGCCACGTTGCAGGGGGATCCCCGAGGTCGAGGATGCATCCTGGTAGCCCAGTGGGAATGGGCGGTAGGAGTGCATGCTGGAGCAGCTGGCGTACAGCTTGGATGGCTCTCTCTCCAGAAAGTCAGAGCCCACCACACACTCTGAACTGATGCTCAGAGATAGCCCTGAGAAGACAAAGAAGGAAGAGGGGTGAAAATCCAGAGCTGGGAAAATGAGTATCACCTTACAGTCTAAAGGCAGCAGTGTAATAAACCTGCCCATTTACAAAGGGCTCCTGCATTCATTATGCTTCTGACCTTCCTGCCCTGTAGACCTTTGGCCACGTCCCACTGCTCTTAGAAGTCTTGAATACAGCAACTGTGACTAGTTCCTACCTCACTCCAGCCTCATGGGCTGTCACCCAGCAGCTGCTTCTTGGTCATTATCTCAGATGTCCTTCCCTGGGCTTGGAAGGCTTCCTCCTCAAACCACATTTTGCCTCCTGGAGTCCTCACTATCCAGCTTCTGCTGCCCTCCTTCACACCACTGCTAACCCATCCATCGTTAGAGCTCTGGACCATAGGCTGAGTGATTCTTTGATCAATGCTATCCCTTCCACACATGCAAGATCCTGAGGGCAAGCACTATGACCAGTCACTGGAGCTGTCTGTGCCTGGCACATAGTAAATGCTCAGATCCAGTTTCCTGGGGCAAAAAAGGGCACCATGTCTATGGAAAGGCAACCTTCTCCTAGGTTTGCTAAAGGGGGGTCGGATGGCAAAAAAGAGAGCTTGCCTAAGATTAAAGTGCACAACCCCACGCTCCTGACTCGGATTGGTGCTCTTTCTCCCATGCTGACATAGGGTAACACTCGTCTGCGCCCCAAAGAGCCGCTTTTAAGCCTCAAATTTGAAATTGCGCTTTAATAAAGAAAGCAACAAAACATAAGGAACAATGTTAATTTATGCACATGGTGGGGTGGGCATTTAAAAAAAAAAAAAAGGTAACCACATCTGAACCAGCCAACTTCATCAACTTAATGGCGCGCCAGTGTAGACCCGAGCGGCCATCTCACCTCCAACGGTCCACGGAAAGAATGAAGGAGTGCGCAGGCGCAGGGGTCAGAACATGGCCGGGGATAAGGCCACCAAGCCGCAGGGAGGAAAGAGTGCGCAGGCGCAGTCTTCCTTGGGCTGGCCCACCTACAGGGACATCCTGGGGGAGTCGCGCCATCCAAAAAAAGGGCGGGAAGGGGCGCGCAGGCGCAGTAAGGCCAACCTCCCTAGAGCGTGGGGGTGGGGGTGGGGTGGCCCATGCATGGCTAAATCCGACTGGGGGCCATCTTTTTATTGTAGTACAGAAAGGCAAAAGCTGTACCTAAATATTAAAAGCCACCTGGTCAGCCTGTTTCTTCTTTTTGTACCTTTTCACTCCAACCCAAGCCCGTACTCAGAGAAAGGTCTGTCTAGGCAAGGTTACCCCTAGAAAGCATTTCTCCCCCCCAACCCCAAGAGCACTCCTGGTGGGACCCCCCACGGGCCTGGTCCGGCCTCCTGACGAGCAGGGAGGCTGTGGTCAGGAGAGAAACCAAAGTGGGGCAAGGCCACGCAGGGCCTAGGGGTCTTACCGAAGTCGGCGAACGGCGGGCTGGGCACGGGCCGCAGAGGCCTGAGCAGCTCCAGGCGGCCTGGGCTTCCCCGGTTGGCGGCGTCAGCCCCGAGCAAGGGCCCCACAGACCTGGGCATGGCCGACGCAGGGCGGCTGCTCAGCCCCACGTGGCCGCGGACGCCCAGGACTGGCTGGAAGGCGCTCGGGCCGGGGCTTGGGCCACGCGGGGGCCTCTCGGGGAATCCAGTGACCACGCGGCCGTCGCGGCCCAGCTCCATGTCCCCCGAAGCGGCAAGCAGAGGCAGCGGGCGAAGGCTTGCGCCCAGGGCGGCGGCCGCAGCCCCAGTGGCCAGCTCGGGCCCCCGTGCGCTCATGGCTCCCTCCTGCCCCTCCTCCGGGGCCTGCTTCTTGAGCACCTTCTGCGCAGCCATGATCTTCTGGCGCTCTGTGATCAGGTAGCACTTCTCGCAGGTGCACTGCTTCCATCGGCACTTGCCCACATGGCCCTTGACTGGTACCAGGAAGCCATGGTTCCGGCATCGTGAGCATTTGGGGGTCCGCAGCATCTTGTCGGCCAGCTTGGCGGGGTCTGCCTTCATAACACAACCACCACCGCTGGGAGCTGCAGAGCGACTGGAGCAGAAATGAGCAGCGCCCCACAAGTCTCTGGTGCCAGGGACATTGGATACACTTGTAACAAAGCGCTCACAGTACGTCCCAGGAGCTGCAGCAAGACCCTTGCATTTTTACCTTCTTTTGGGGGGTGCAAAATTTGGAGAATCTGTGCTTTGGTTGATTAGATGCAAGGGGTTGGGTTGAATAAATTCTTCATAGAATACTATTGCATGTATGTCATCTGGGTTATCTGAAGTTTTAAGCATTTAATTTTCCAAACTTTCCATGCCCGCCGCCCCACAGACAGAGTATTTTGTAACTTAAAAAAAAGAAAGGCGGAGTGATATTCAACGGTCCACAGATTTAAAAGCTCCAGAGGACGCAGCTCTCAGTAAACCCACTCCAGCAAAAAAGCATTCTAAGAGTCAAGCCGTTTCTTCTTCCAAAAACTGCTACATCTGCTGAATTTCATTTCTCTCTCTGCAGAGAAGATGCCAGTCACAGTGATGCTTCCAGAATGTTCTCCAGAGCTCAGTGCAGTGTGATAGTTTTGCTCAAGGGTGTGCCTTTATAGTAATTCCTATGTGTAAGAATCTTGTTGGTATAAGAATGCAGTTCTGGAAGATGGCGTGTGTCTGTTGTTGATGACTTCCAAAGTAAAGCATACTTAGACTGCTTTAAAGTGAAATAAACTCAGGGTACTTTTTCATGAGCTTGAATGGTTGCTGAACCTTCATGAATTATGTTATCCCTATAAAACAACCAAAATGACTCATTTCCTTGTTTGATACAAATTTGTAATACCCTAAGGTCCTTTTTTTTTTTTTTTTAGATCCAACGAAAAGAAGAAAGGGCACCAAGTTGAGACGTTCATAATCATAGAATCAGCAATATTTAAGGAGGCAGTTATCTTTAGTACATGGCAAAGCATGTGTATTTTAAATTCCCCTTTCTCTGGAATTCTGTCCTGGTGGCAGGATGGTAGAAGCAAATCCTGGTGTTCACAGTGATTGTCCTGAGGCTTCGCGTGCAGCTGTACTTTGCAGTTCTCACCAGCTGCTGGAGAATAGGAAATGGTCGCCATTTTGAGCTGCCTAGCGACTGGAAAGCTGAAAAGAGGTTTGTAAAGCCTTGCTCTGCTTTAGAAAAATAAAATTCCTCAATAAGACAAAATTATACTTCCTGCATTAGTCCTTCTGGAATTTCATTGTTCACTTTTATTTCACTGTTAGCTAGGATTGTCGCTGCTCTAACATCTTCTATCTTAATTTTTGATTAAAAAAAATATGGTTCTGTACATAAAGGGACAAACAAGCTCCTTTTATGTCTCCAGTCAGTTCAAATGCCTTTTTTCCTCTGAATTTGTTATTTGAAAGTTGTACTTAAAAAATCATAGACTCAATACTGCCGTCAAAAAAATCTGTGGCATAAGCAGTATTGTCTCACGACAATAAGGACATCAAATTTAAAATTTAACATCAGGTGACATCAGTTAATAAGGCCTAAAGAAGAAAACTACTCTTATTTACATTTCATGCTTGACCACCCAAGCTCTCTTCATTTACCGATTTAAAGGAAAATTCTATTGAAAGCCAACTATTTAAATTAACTTATTTTAGCCTTGTTAACAAAATGTTTCCATATTTACTTCCTAGCTTTATGGGCAAAATATACCCAAGGTGATGTGAATTTGCATAGTGCTTTGAGAACCTTAATAAACAACCATATATCTTTTTAATCAGTAGTCTTAAGATGCAGAAACCCCAGGGTTTATACTGTAAACAAATCTAAAAAAAAGACCAGTTTATTTCTCTCTTCCTCACCAAAGTCTCAATTTGTGTAGGTAAATTCCAGCAGAGCTTTATTTATTTCACTCTTGGAAATTCAGGCAAATTGATAGGTTTGTTTTATTTAGGTTGATGACTGATTACTTGCTAGGCTGCAGCCTTTAAAAAAAATGCACGCACACACACACATACCTTTCTTTAAATTGTTACTTTAAAATGTGCTAACATGGTATAAAAAAGAAAAACTGCAGCCCTCCCTGGTGGCGCAGCGGGTTAAAGCACAGCACTGAGAAGCTAAGGCCACTTCCGCATGAGTTCGATCCCCGTCTGCCCGGACTGGACCGCACAGCTTGGCAGACCTCTCCTGACCCGCCCGCTGCTCCCCTCAGCAGTGTACTTCGTCGATCTGCCTGTTCTGCTCCCCGCTCTGTCTCTGGTGAAGCCTCTCACAGCCCCTGAGGCTCTGGCCTGTACCCCTGTTCTGTATGCACAAATAAATCTTTTTAAAAAAAGAAAAGAAAGAAAAACTGGAATCAAAAAAAGATGGGTACAGTAAGTCACTGTACAGTTACTACCGTCCTTTTCTACGTAAAGCTCAGGAAGAAAGTCTGCATCATCCTAAGCAGTGGTTTATAAAATCACAAGCTATTGTTGAGGAATCATCAGTTTGAGTAATTAACCACAAAGGGGTTGGTTGGTCATAACTCCCGGCTTCAGTATCACCCCTTTCCCCTCAAATCCCAAGTTTCTTACCTTCAATAATACCTTGCCTCTTTGGTTAATAGGAATGTCATTGGTACTGTTTGATTTATATTCATTTTAAAGAGCGCTGCAAAGAAGAGCATCATTTATAATCATTCAATATCGCCTGCTCTGTGATGTTTCCTTACTGGCAGCACACAAGCGTAAGGAAAGGCTTTTTTTTTTTGCCTAGAATGTTTCCCCCAGCAGCTATAACCCAGATATCTGCTATCTTCTCCTTCTTCAGGCTCTCTCTAGTGAGCAATGAGAAGTTTATTGAAGATTTTGTAGGGGGTGGAGAGGAGGATTTACATGACACCTTCTATAGCAGAGTTTTAAAATCCTGCCTTAGCATTTCTGTCGTCTCCAGAGCCTCCTTGCTGTGCCACTTCCACTGAAGAGAAACTGGTCTTTCCCTCCCCACCAACACCCAGCCTCTATAGCTTCTGTCTCCTTTCTGGAATTTTTGAGAGCTCTATAAGAGCTGTGGCATTCTCATTCCCTTTTATATCCAGCACAAAATAGACATTCAGTAAGTATTTGTTGAACATACAAATGACTGTCACCTTCCTTTCCTGCCTAACTGGCATAGTAAATTAACTTGACTTAAGCAACGTTCCCCAAACATCTTACAAGTGCTCAGCAAAATAAAACCAATAGGTAACAGGCCCATTCTTCTAACAAGCAGAATTTGGGGATCTACTTGGTTCCTTGGGCTCACCCCATACCCCTAATGGCTGAATAATAGTAATAATAATCACTAGCACACTTTGATTTACTAAGTGTTTACATGCATCATAATTCTTAAGTCTTTATGAGTATTAATTCATATAATCCTTATAACAAAGGGACTACAATTTTCACTCCATTTTACACATGAAGAAGCTGAGGAGTGAAGTGAATTAGAGAAGAAGCTGACCCAAGGATTCACAGTCATTAAGAGACACAGCCACGATTCAAAACCAGGAACTCTACCCTCAAAGTCCCTGTTCTTAACCACATATATGATATACCAATATTCTCAGCAAATACAATATTCTCAGACCCATTCAAGAAAACTTTGATGATGAGTAGAAGTGGTTGTCTTACTGCTTTATTTATTACTCTATTAAAATTGGGGCAAATGGGGTGATGATGGTAGCAACGTAGGCAAATTTCCTAGGCTTCCCTTTCAGTTGCTTTCCAGAGCGGATATTTATTGAGCGCCAACTATGTGCTAAGCGTAAGGGACACGGTGGTAAATACAGACAGGGTCCTTGCCTGTAGCCATACATCCTAGCAGTGCAGACAGCAAACAGTACTTCCAGATGAAAGCAGGGAAGTTGGGGGTGGATTCAGATGAAGGACCTAACCTGACCAGAGAAGACAAGGAAGTCTTCCTTGAAGGGCTGATTTCTGAGCTGAGCCAGAAGCAGATACTAGCCAGATACAGAAACCCGAGAGGTGTGTCCTGGGCAGAGGGAACCGCATGTCTGAGGTCTACAGAGTGGAAGTAGTACAGTGCAGTCAGGAGACTGCTGAGAGAGGATTAGAGATTAGCAGATTAGAGATTCAACACATCAAGTCATATAGGTGTCCTGGGGAGGTTGCTGCATATGACCAAGAGAGCAAATAACAGGGCAGATGGCCAGGCCAAACTAGAACCCACTTATCCAAACCTCTAGTCCCAGCTCATGGTCGTTGGTGGCTTTTTACAGAGAGTGGAACAATAATAAATTGGGACTAGCAGAGGTATTACAAGATTGAAATGGAGTTGAGCCGGGTTTTCTTTGGGAGTGGCTTCCCAGAGCCACACACTGGAGCCTAGTCAGGCCCTAAACCGTGCTGGGCAGGGTTGTTCCTCCCCATCCTGAGCCCCTGTTGACTGAATCATCTGATCTTAAGGCTTACAAGGCAAGGCACAAAGCGGCCGTGACGGAAGACAATGGGTGAGAGGAAAGCAGCGTCAGAAGCAGTCAGCCATTCAAGAGGGGCTATAAACAATTCTGTGGAGCAGCTTCGGTAGCACCTTCCGGCCTGGGAGAGGTGCAGGGTGGCGCCGTCAGCCGAGCTGGCGCCAATAGCCCTGATTTCGGGTGTCCTGTTTTTACCTGCTAATTTAATGAAAAAAGTTTCCACACAGAAAATTTGACAATGTTTACAACTTACTACATGTTCTTTGGACGGTATTACCAAATTTCCATGAATATCAATTTTTTTTTTCCTTAAAAAATGAGACACGTGATCCTCCTTGGTGGCGCAAAGGGTTAGAGCGCTGCACTGCAAGCGAGCTGCAGCCACTTCAGTGTGAGTTCGAGTTCCGCCCCAGAGGTGACCCACATGGCGCGGCAGACCTCTCCTGACCTGCCCGCTGCTCCCCTCAGCAGTGCACTTGTTGATCTGCCCCTGTTCTGCTCCCCACTGTGTCTCTGGTGAATCCCTTCTCTCTTTCTCTCTCTCTCTGTCACCTGCACCTC